CGGCATTTTGATTTTTCCAGCCGTCCACTTGTATACATTTCTCTATCTCAAGAACCCACCACCTCTACGCTTGTCGCGCCTAACTCATTCAGCCAATCATATATCCACCTAAAACTATGAGACACTCACGCTCCACCCTTTAGCCCTTCCATATTCATATCTCCAAAAACTAACTGTCTCCTCCCACGATGTCTTTTAACTTTGCTAATGGCTGAGACTTTTTCCCACTAAGACCAATCCACCCCTTCCTCAAAGGCCATCTCTCTACCCACCCTGATAGCTTCTGCCTCCGATTATTACTATAAAAACCGCGGTAATCCGCCTCCGCGGCCACTTCTACTTCAACTTCTACCGTTACTTCTATTCTGAGAGACAGAAAGAACAGATTCACATAGATTCTAGTTTCAAAAATCAGACTTGTAAAAACACGTCCTTAGACTCAAATTCGTCTTCGGTTTTGTTTCGGTACTACATATTCTTTTACGTCCTCTGTCCTATTTATTTATTTTTGGGACTAAAAAAAATAAAAAGTTTGAATCACTGCTATTGTGCCATAATTGGACAATTGGAAGGGAGTGGACGAGCACAACGTGACCTATCGAGCAGGAGCTACCAAACATCAATTTTATTTTTGCTCACCTTCAGGATAACAGGAGTCAGCAGTAAGTTCTGTTTTTTTTTGCTTCTACCTTTTCTACCACCATCTTATTAATTCCCCATATTATTGAAATCCGTTTTAGTGGGTCATTATAACAACATAGGGATAACCCTCCACCACGTTTTCCGAACTATCCACTCCCTTAAATTCACCCGACCACTCACGCTCCCCCTCACCCGACTAATTCTTTACTCATATTCCTACCTTTTTTTTTATTATTTCCTCCTTCTTTCACTTCTCATACATACACACATACACATACACAGTCATTCCTCAACTGTATTGAACCGCGCCGTAATTCATTTTGTTATTTTAATAAATCTGTTTATATTTCATTCTTTTTCCAATTGATTTCAAAATCACATATACCCTTCCAACAGTCGACTCATGGTCCTATCCCCGGTAAAGGGATTCGCGTCCCTGACCGAAAAACGGACCACTCGTCGTATGCCCGAGTAAAGGGACCCGTCGGGTCCCTGACCCGTTCACTGACACGCATGTACGAACGAGGTTCGCCTTACTCGCGAACGAAAGGGTTGCGTTCCTCCTCTAGGACGCACTGTTTCGATTGCCCAAGAGCTAAAGATTGCACAAAAAACCGTTTGGAACCATTTGAATAAGGTTGGATACGAAAAGAAACTCGATGTATGGGTGCCACACGAGTTAACGAAAAAAAACTCATAGACCGAATTTCCATCTGCGAATCGCTGCTGAATCGCAACAAAATCGACCCATTTCTGAAGCTCATTCTTGATCATTGGTGATGAAAAGTGGATCACTTACGACAACGTCAAGCGAAAACGGTCGTGGTCGAATCGCGGTGAGCCGGCGGAAACGGTGGCCAAGCCAGGATTGACGGCCAGGAAGGTTTTGCTGTGTGTTTGGTGGGATTGGCAGGGAATTATCTACTATGAGCTGCTCCCCTACGGCAAAACTCTTAACTCGGAACTGTATTGTCAACAATTGGACCGTCTGAAGGAAGCAATCGCCCAGAAGCGGCCAGCTTTGGCCAATAGGAGAGGAATTGTGTTCAATCAGGACAACGCCAGGCCACACACATCGATAGTGAGTCGCCAGAAGCTCCGGGAGCTTGTTTGGGAGGTTCTTATGCATCCCCTTTCCCGTCCCTCACGCCTCATCTCTTCGGTCAGGAAGGGGGAAGCCGACCGAAGCCCTCTTCGACCACCGTTCCTGACCAGATGAGGCGCCGCCAGTACATGTTGTGTGGCTGACTGACCCACCGTGTCAGCCAGCCACCCTACGTTGGGAGGGCTGGTTGGGGCACCGGGAGTCCCCGCCCGGTGCCCCACCCTCCCGCCCGGCGGTTACGGGGGGAAAAACTCCCCTAGCCGCCGGGCTCTTCCCACCTCCGCGGAGAAATGGGATGGAGGGTCCTAGCGACCCCCCTCCCGCATATCCGAATTACTTCGGATTTGCGGTTTGGGGGGAGGGGTGTTTTGTTCTATGATAATTAATCACCATCGACACCCTCTCCCCCCCTTATTTTCACCCGACTCCCTTTTTTAGGGGAGCCGGTAGTCTGCGGGTGTAAGGCCTTGGCCTAAGCCGGGCCCTCCATCCGCCTCTCTCTTCCATTGCTGCCGTAAGAGGGGCAGCAGGGGGTGGCGGTGGTAGTGTCCCCGCCATCGTCACCACGGGGGGGGGCGGTCAGCAACGCTGCCGCCATCATCAGGGGGGTCAGCCGTTGTAATACCACCACCGCCACCCCCCTGTTTCCATCTGTCCTTTGCCTTTGGACTTTGTTGGGGGCATTAAGTCCCCCATGAGTTCTTCCCACTGGTACCGGAGGGGGAGCAGGAGGGGGAGTGGGGGGGAAGAGGTAGTGGAGCCAGCATCCTCCTAACGGCCTCCTCCTCAGAGGAGTCCGCGTCCCGCTCTCTGCTTCTGCTCCTCCCTCCCCTCCATGCTCGTTGCCTCTCTCTCCTCTTTCTCATTCTCCCTCGCCCTTCCGCCTTGCGGCGGACCTCCTCAGCCTCCTCCTTCTGCGTTATTATCGATTCGCAGAAGGAGGAGAACACATTCCACTTCTTCTCACTCCCCACTATGGCCCCGACTATTGTGGGAAGCGAGAGGTCATTATCCAGTTCTCTGATCACGACTCCGCGCTGCTCGCTCCAGGCGGGGCAATCCTGGAGTGTATGTTGCGCGGAGTCGTGATCGTTGTCACAGTGGTGGCAGCACGTTGTGCGCTGCTTTCCGATTCGGCACAGGTACTCACCGAAACATCCGTGTCCAGTGAGCACCTGTGCCATCCTGAACGACAGGGTCCCGAATGCCCTGCCTACCCACTCTTGCAGGCAAGGCTGGACGGCCTCGACTGTCCTCCTCCCGTATCTGGCATTCGCCAGAATCCTTTGCCATTTCTGGAGGAGGACTGGTCGAGCCTGGTGCTTCATCTTCCTCAGTGCTCCGGCGAGCGATTCTCCTGCCCCCCCTGTTTGCAGGAGCTCCCGCTTCCTGACGTACATGTATCTGTATGTCAGCACGAGGAGCTCCAGGGGGGGCATGCTCGCCAGAGCTTCCGCCGCCACGCAGGAGACCGGTAGCATCTAGCGACCCTGACCGCCAGCGTCCTGTGCACCTTGCGCAGTTGCGCCTGCATCGGACGACTGACGGCCAGGGCCTCCGCCCATACCGGCGCTCCGTACAACGCCACGGAATTTAGCACTCCTGCGTGGAGGCGGCGGGCCTTTCCGTCCGGTCCCCCGACATTGGGCATAAGTCTGCCCAATCTATTAGACACTGCTCTTAGTCGGGGGACCAGACGATTGACATGTCCCCTGAAGCACCAGGTGCCGTCCAAAATGAGACCCAGATAATTCATCTGGGCCTCTATCGGGACCCTGGTCGTTCCCACCTTTATCTGAGCCTGGGGTGGCTTTCTACCCTTGTCGTGGAAGAAGATCGCCTCGGTTTTCTTCTCCGCCACCACCAGGCCCAGATTACGAATGGCGCGCACAACGCCTGCCACCGCTTGGTTGGCCGTCACCACGGCTTCCCCTCAGTCTTTCCTCCCGGCCAAGATGAGAGTGTCATCTGCGTAGCAGATAATGCTACAGCCGGGGGGGAGGGCTACTCGGAGGACTGAGTTGTATCCGAGGTTCCACAGTAGCAGGCCCAACACTGAGCCCTGTAGAACCCCGCAACTCATCCCCCTCTCGCGTACCTTGCCATCGGCGTCCATCCAACTTAGACGCCGACCCCGGAAGTAATCCTCCACGACGGCCGTGAGGTAGAGTGGAAAGCAGAAATACTCCCGCATGGCTTTCACCACCCCACCCCAGGGCAGGGTGTTGAATGCGTTGGCGATATCCAAGGATACCGCCACCGCCACCTTGCCCTCCATCACTATGGCCTCCGAGAGGGCTTTCAGATGCAATATAGCATCCACTGTGGATCTGCCCTCTCGGAAGCCGTATTGGCCGTCGTGAAGACTCGGTCCCTTCCGGGACATATGCTCCATGAGGCGGGCAGCTATAACACGCTCGAAGAGCTTGCCCGCCTCATCCAGGAGGCATATGGGCCGGTACGCGGAGGGGGAGTCCTCCGGTTTGCCCTCTTTTCGGAGGAGGACCACATTGGCCTTCCCCCAGACTGGGGGGAACCTACCTTTCCTTAGTGCCTGTGAGAACAGGTCCGCAAATCTTTGGTTCATGAACCCCGAGGCTAGGGTGAGAACCCGGCCGGGGATACCATCCGGTCCCGGAGCCTTACGGCTCTTGACCTTTTTGATATCCCCGGCCACCTCCTCCTCTGTGACCCCCGGCACCTCCCCCTGTTGATCAGGGGTGGGACCAATATACGGGCCAATGGGGTCTCCTTTCCCAACCGGGAAGAGTGACCCCATGACCCGCTCCAGGAACCGAGGGTCAAGCGTCACCGTCAACGGGGGCGTCCATGGCTTGAGTTTTTGCATAACTATCCTGTATGGACGCCCCCACGGATCCGTATCCAGTGAGAGGAGGAGGGTGTCCCACCCTTTTCCTCTGGCCGCCCCTATGGCCTCTCTCAGGGCCTTTGTTGCTGCAGAAGTCTTTCCGGGCGGCCAGAACAGCCTCGAGGTCCGAACCCGGATCATTCCTGACCCGCCAGAAGGCCCTCCTGAGGTGGACCAACTCACGCCTCAGGTCTGCGATTTGGTCGGTCCACCACCAGGCGGACTTCTTTGGGCAGGACCTGACCCTGGGCATGGAGGCATCGCACGCCTGTGCGAGTATGCTCATTACCTCCATGACCTCAGAGTCAAGGTCCTGCCCTTCCCTCCATTGTGGCCAGGTGGAGCCCTCTAGGGAGATTTCCAGGGTCTCCCTATCCAATTGGGCTAAGGCCCATTTCCCTGGTCGGGGTTCATCCTTTTGATCCTTTTGCTGAGCCGCAGGCCATTGGGGGTAACGGACAGCTCCATCTCTATCAGGAGATGGTCCAACAACGTCTCCAGTTCGTCCGCCACCCTCCAGGTCTGTACCCTCCCCAGGGCCGCAGGGGTTACCCACGATAAATCAATAATTGATTCCCCCTGCGACCCCACGAATGTGGAATTCTTGCCCTTGTTTAAAAGGTGCAGACCCAGGCCCGCGGCCCAGTTTTCGACCTCCTCCCCCCGCCCGTCACCCCGCCGGGAACCCCACAGTTCCGACTTCGCATTGAAGTCCCCGGCGGCGATGACGGGCCCTGGGAGGTACCTTTTGATGGTCCCTCCCATATCTTGTAGCCTGGATCTAAATGTAAACAGATTCAGGCTCCCTGCTGGGGGGAGGTATACCCCGACCACAGTGATAACGCCCCACCTGGCCACAACAAAACCTTTCCCGCTATCCAAAAAAGTAGCGGGAGGAGTTTTCACTTGCCCTCCATACTACCGCGACAGAGCCCAACTTATCTCCGAACCACCTAGGGTGGTTCTTTGGGACATGGTTGGGCTCTGCCGCTATGCCCAAACCTGCACCGCGCTCTGTCATTGTATGCTCAAACAAAGGCTGAGCCTGACGAGCGCGGTGCAGGTTCAAATGGAGCAGTCACGGTGGCCATTATTCAACTGTTGGGTTGATAATTACCTTCCCACCCGGCTGCTCCCTTTCGTCACTCTCGTTTTCTTCTTTTGGGCGAGGACGCTTCTCCTCTCTTCTTGGACAGATGGACGTGGACCGTCCATCTCCTCCACCTTTTCCAACTTGTCCTCAGAGGGGACGATTGGGCATGCTGAAGAAGGTGGGATTACCATCCCCTCTACTACACCTTTCTCCTGCCTTTTTTTCTCCGCTTTCTCTTCTAGGGGAGCAGGGGGCGTGGGTGGCCTCGGTGTGGACGCCTGCCCCATCTCTTCCTGCTTCCTCTTAGTCTTCCTTTTCTTAGGGGGGTGACATGCAGGTCCTCCCATCCTGTGACCCGCTGAGATCCCTGCCTCTGCGCAAATATGACACCTTACTCTCTTTTCGCAATCGCGAGCCAGGTGTCCATATTCTCCACATCTATAACAGTTTCCTCTCCGATTTGTTTCATTTGTGCAGTTGTATTGCACGTGTCCTTTTTCCATGCATCTGTAACATTGCATCGGTCTTGCCATCAGCAACTCCACTTTTACCTGCGTCCATCCTATAGTGATGACTCCTTTTTCGGAAGCTTTCTTTGCCGCTAAAAGGGGGCATTGCATCCATAAGAATCGAACCCTTCCCTGTGTGTTTCTTATTTTCCCTGCCTTTGTTTCTGCTATTTCGCATTCACCAATCTCTGCTATTTTCCTTCTAGCTTCTTCTTCGTCTGTTGAGATCTCCAGTCCCCTTAGACGAATTTCTCCCATTTTCTGGGGGCGATTTATCTTTGCCTTATCAGCCAGAACATCCCTCAGTTTTTCTGCCAATGTATCGGCCTTGGCTCCCCTGTCCTCCCCTGGTATCTCCAGAATCAGTACACCTGTTGCACCAATTCGGGTTTTAATTTTTGGGATCCCCAGGTCGTCAAGATCAATTTTTCTTTTTGCCTCCGCCAGGAGTTCTCTGTACTGCCCCTTGTCAGCGGTGATTGATACCGCCGCAGTACTGGGAATCTTCCTTTTTATTTTAGCTCCTCCTACTCCATTGTTGATTCCTTTTCTTGCCTCTTCCTTAATCCCTCCTTTCCTGTTCTTCCTTCTTTTCTGCTCTTTTCCCCCTCCTTCCAACTACTTGGACCCAAGTTTCCTGGGTGGTTGGCATATCCGTTTCCTGTTCTGTCATTTTCATAGTCGGGTGTTCAGTCCTCTGAGGTAGCGGTGTCTGCATTTCTGCTGACCTATTCTTACTCCCCAGAGCTTGTTTTGTTGACTGATCCCCTGTTATTTTTCCACTCCCTTTCTTTTTCTTCTTTCCTTTGCTTGGATTTCCTTCCGGCCCCCGTTTTGGTGGTATGTTATCTTGTCTTGCATATTCATTCATGGCTTTAAGTACCATGGCGGTGATTTTTCCTTCCAAATTCTCCTCTTCCCTTCTTTCCGGTCTTTCTTTTCTTTCTAGCCTCACTCTTGTATTAAGCATAATGTTTTCCTTAATTTTGGGGCCCTCCTTCTTTTCTTTTGCGACCCTGTTTTCTTCCTTAATGGGGTGTATTTTATTAGTCCTTATGGGGCCCTTTTGGACTTCAATTACCCCTATTGTCTTTTCCTCTTCTTTTCCTAGATCTGCCAATGGGGGCGAAATCCTTCCTCTTGCATAACTTTCTCCTATTTCTATTTCCTCAACATTGGTTGGAGGCGGGGGGATCACCGCTGCAGGCAGCGCTGTCCCCCTTATACTCCAACCACTGTTTCCTTGGTACTCTGGAGGCGGGGAGGACACCATCATTGTCGGCGGTGCTTCCCTTATACTTCGTAGAGTACATCTCATTTCCTCCATTTCTTTCCTCATTTCCTCCATTTCAGTTTTTAATTTTTTGTTTTCATTTTTCAGCTCCTCTATTATGTCCAGGTATTCTCCGCTCTTTTCACTGGTTATTTTCTTAGACATGTTTGCCCCTGCTGTTATTGCAGCAGATGCATCCCTGAGCGTTTTGACATGTGTCCCCTTTAAGTTCTTAGATTTTACAGAAAACCCTAAGATCTTCATTGATGCTTCCAACACCGATGCAGTTACATCTCTGAAGGGGGCTTCCTCCCAGTGCTCCGTTAATCTCGCAAGTTCTGCTTTATACTTGCGATCTTGTGAGCAGTCCCGGAATTCTTCGGATGGATTTTGCAAGGCCTTCATGAGCTTATCCTCTTTTACCTTTTCCAGGTATATTTCCCTTTTTGCCATGAATTCCTTTTTCTTCCTATACTCTCCTGTCGTTTCCCTCCTTCCTCTTCCACGAGTTACTTTTTCCAAGAAAAGTTCCTCGTCCGTTTCCCCGTTTTCTTTTCTGGGAATATCCCATTTCTCTTCCTTTTCTACCTTCTTTCCTTGCTGTCCATCCGTTGATCCATAATCTGATGAGGACCCATCTCTCTCCATGGAGGATCTTGATCGTGACCTTGATCTTGGATCATCTGCTCCTTTGTCGCGCTGAGACCTGGCACTTCGGAGGCCTTCCCTTCTGATCACCCGGCTGATGCCAGGCTGGTCTTCTGAGGCAACATTCGTTGCCTTCTCTTTCCTGAAGCTACGGAGAGCTACCACCTTGCTCATATCCTTTTTCGATGTCTGGGTCGTCTTAATGTATTCCGTTTCCGATGGGTCCATGTATGAAGAAGAAGAATCAGTAGTCATTTTTGGTTTCAAACCCACAACCCTGCACGGCTCCGGTGCCCGGGCATGCCCGCATACCTCCGGGAAAGGGGGGCCTCCGAGTTCCCCCAGAGGAGCACCATATGGCTTGGGCCGACGGAATGTTACATCGTCGGCACTGGCCTCCCGCCCCCTACACGCGCCCTGACCACCATTTCTGGTGGCCAGACCGCTTTCGGGGGTCCCGCACCTCCGACAATGCGGGCACCGTGCAGAGCGCCGCCACGCAGAGGGGCCTATGGAAGGAGGTAGTTCACCGGTGTCGCACCCCACCGGGAACGCCTCCCCTATGGCAGCCAGCGTGCTCGCACTACCCGAGGGTCCGCTTTAGGGTGATGCGATCGCATTCCCTCGGGCACAGCACATAGGGGCTCCGGCCCTGCCTCGGAATACGTCCGAGCGGCCCGGGGCACCCCTCCACCCCCAGGTACCATGGGAATTATCCCATGGTGTGCAGACCCGGGTGTGGGATCCTCCATCCGCACAGTTAAGACTGTGACGGATGAGGGGAGGAGGTCCTCTCTCCCTTCGGCTGCCGGAACACCGGCGTGCAATGCCTCAGAGAGAGGGGTCCTCCTAGGACGTCTCAAGGGTACTCCGACCCCGACCTCGGAAACGTACGAGCGGCTTGGAATACCCCTCCGCTACCCAGGCCCATGGGGTTGAGCCCTGAGTGCGGGTACGTCCCTCCACCCCGGTCTAACCATAACGGTCCAGCCGAGGCAGGAGGAAAGGGTTCTCTCTCTTCGGCTGCCGGAGCACCGGCGTGCAATGCCTCGGAGAGAGAGGTCCCCTACCTAAAGCGGATGCAGAGGAGGCCATCCCTGTCGGCTGCCGGAGCACCGGCGTGCAATGCCTTCAGGGATGGTGATCTTCTCCTACCCGCTCTATGACCGTTCTGGTCAAGGACCAGGCTGGTCACTCAGCCCGGTCGGGTGCTCTTGGTCCAGTCCCTCAGTACAGACCACTCCGGCATGGTAGAACCTGCCAGGGGCCGAAACCCCCGCCGGCACAGCTCTATACATCATTGGGACCTTCAAGCCTCCCCACCACGTCAAGGCGGCACCCACGGGGAGGTTATAGTCCGGACCTGGCACCAAGTGATTACCATCTGTTCCTGTCCATGGCGAACAATTTTGCTGAAAAATTCGCTTCAAGAGAGGCTTGTGAAAATCAACTGTCTCAATTTTTTGCCAACAAGGACGAGGGTTTCTGAGAGAGGCATAATGAAATTACCTTCAAAATGGCAACAAGTTATCGAACAAAACGGCGCATATTTGACCTAAATCGGATCATTCTATGGTAATTAAAGCCTTCAATTTCATGCAAAAATAATGGATTTCTTTTTACTACACCTGATATATAAGTTATTTTAGTTTGTTTATAATATAATAACATTATACTTAATAAAGAGTTGGATAATAACATTATACTTAATAAAGAGTTGAATACTTAATGTATCCAACTCTTTTTTAGATTGGGATATCTTTTTATTTCAAATTAGTTTTATTTAGCTCATTTTTTGTTATATTTTGTATAATTTATTTTTATTTGGCCTATCTGTCTGATACTTATTTTTATAGAAAATAGTTTTAATAATATTTGTTATTTTTTGTAACATTTTTAGATTTGTTATTTTGTAAATAAAACATTTTTTATAAAAACATTTATTCTTGTAAATGTAAAATGGTTCCACATAAAACGCGTGAACTTGGCACCAGTTTTTTTACCTTTATTTTTAAAGAAGGTTAGTTTGTTCGGATATCATTCACCGGTGATCACCTTTTTGCCTATTTACGACATTGTTATATTTTTGCCTGCCTGCGACAACGAGTAAACCTTAATTTTATCGAACCGTTATATCTCGATGCATCGGCCCAACCTAAATGTATAATAGATATAAAGGGATAGATAAGAAAGCGATAGATCGATGAAGTAGCGTGTAAAGTTCTTTGTATAGGGATGAGGAAGTGGGATACTGATGAAACGATTATGATCGATAAAAAACGTTTCAAACGAGACGATACACGATCGCGCATCGCAACGACGTTTCATGCGACGGCGACGACTAACGATATGAAATTGGTTCGTTGTGGAACAGGTGGATGTGGAAACTGTCACTGTACGTTTGTGTGTGTGAAGAAACAGAAAGTCCTGAAAGAATTGTCAAATTAATAAACAAGCTGCCAAATCATGTCATTCACCGGTGATCACCTTTTTGCCTACGTACGACAATTGTTATATTTTTGCTTGCCTGTGGCAACGAGTAAACCTTAATTTTATCTAACCGCCATAAGAATTATATGAAGCGGGATAAGCCAAAAAAGAAATGCGTGCAGAAATGTTGAGTATTGAATAAATACAAAAAGGAAATGGGATGGAATGAAGCGATGCTACAAACGATAAACTGACAAATTAACGTTTCGAACGACGATACGCGACTGCATATCGCGACGACGTTCAACTCGATGACGACGATTGCGAATTGATGATCTGGGATAAGGTTGGAAATGTGTGTATATCGTGCAAAAAAAGCAGTTGTTTTAGCAAAAGCAAAGCAAAGAAATAGTCTAAAATTCTATCTGTAAAATAACAAATATTCGCTGAGTATCTATGTCCAGTCGATCCGTTCGAACGAGTGTTCATGCGCCAAATACTGGAAATATACATTAGCGCGCGTCTACCGTCGGACCGAGCCGCGAACGCGCACCCCTCCCCCCGGTCCATCACGCCGTCGGACGATCCTCATGATCACGATCCGTCAGCGCGCGGCTTGGACCTTTCCCAGCGTTATCACCGGCCGATCGGCTGACCCGATGTTCGGCGAGCACGCGTGTATTGCCGATCGTTTCGGAAACGACTTCGTCTTCACGACACGACGCCTCGTCGAGACTTGATGCCTAACGGGACATGCGAGCTCTCGACTGGAGGACTTGCTGTCGTCCGTGATAGAACCCGGCGTTATCGCCGAACGATCGCGCTCACCGCGTTTAGAGCGTTCGCCGCTCGAGTCGTGGAACCAAATCGGTGTCCGGAAACCCCTTCGTGCGATCCAAGAGCCGTTCGTCCGCGTTCGCTCGCCCGAGAGCTGAGCTACGACCGTGTTCTCACGAGAGAACGCGAACGCTGACGTACGAGAGAGCGAGAAGCTCCCGACGCGGCGACCGAGACCGAACGCGCGCGTCTACCGTCGGAACGAGCCGCGAACGCGCGCCCCTCTTCCCCCGGTCCGATCTCGCCGTCGGACGACCCCCGCGATCACGATGATTCTTACCTAGTCTATGGCGCAGGACTTCACTCGTTCGAAAGGAGCACCGAGAACACAGTGTTGATCGGAGGTTTCAGCGAGCCTTATACACCCTATTTACACGTGGTAGAAGGGGAAATTGAGGTCAATAAGATTAACAACGCTGGATCGAACATTCAGACATTGTGTTACGCATCAATGCGCGTGACACGCGAGAGCGACTCGTTATCTTTGCTCGGTTGAACATTTAAGCGACGCGAGAGCGGATCGTTATTTACGCTCGATCGAACACTCAGCGTCGTATTACGCATCGATGCGCGCGACCTCGCGATTCGTTATTTCCGCTCGATTGAACAACGACGCGAGAGCGACTCGTTATTTCCGCCCGATCGAACACTCAGACGACGTGTTACACATCGATGCGCGCGACACGCGAGAGCGATTCGTCATCTCCGCTCGATTGAACATTTGAGCGACGCGAGAGCGACTCGTTATTTCCGCTCGAGCGCGCGGTGAGTTGTCGAATATTGTTATTTTTGGCTTCGAATGGATTTGTTCACGCTCGAATTGCTGCGTGCGACCGAGATAACGCTCAACGCGCCTGACGTGGCGACCGGATTTTTGAGTTCTTTCGCGAGTGTATCGCGTGACGAGAACATCGCGTCCGATGACTATCCGTCCACAAGTTCTCGTCTCAGCGATATGATCTCTGCCGCTCATGAGACGCGCGTTCGCTTGTACGAAGCAACGAAAAATGCTTATCGCGTTATAACGATCCTGAGATTGTACGGCTTCGTCGATATCAACGCGATAACATCAACTGAGCCCTTGACACAGCCGAGTTTCGACGCGACGAAGAATCATCGTTTTCGCAATGTTGATATTGTTCGATCATACAACAAATCGCACGAATTGATTATCGACGATAACATCGGCGTGTCGAAACGAACGAAGCGAGCGATTGAAACGATGATGCGCAATTTGCGACGATTGATTCGCGAAGAAACTGACAAATATTTCGATCTTTGACAAACCACGAACTCCTTGACCAGTGAAATCGTCAATTTGAACGTCGCGTACGACAAGGAGTTCGATCGAGCGCGAGCGCGATACGGCGAATGGTTCGAGCGTGAAGGTATCGTTCTTTCGAAACAGCGTCTCAATTTGGTGTACGAAACGAGCAAATTGTCAGAATCGGCGAACGAATTGGTATCTCTGTTGAACAGTATAGACGACTCGGTGCGAATCGTCGTTCAATGTAAAACCGTCGAATTGGAGCGAGCTGTGACCGCGGATGAAACGCTCAGATCAGCGGTTTTCAAAAGAGAACGCGCCGAGTTGATAATGCAGAATCGATCGCTCGAGAGCGAACATTTGGCGAAAGCGAAGGAACTGGGAAATATCGCACGGAGCATAGACGAAATCGCGACGAAAGTGCGAGAGTTGATTTCTCACCGTCAAACTCATCGCGTCACTGAGGCGACGTCGTCCGTCGCTCGAAACGCTGCAGCGCGAGGTGACCGAAGCGATCGAATCGAAAACTGTGCATCGCACGGTTCTGCTCCTATACCGACAAAACTCGTTCAATCGATATTGCTTAATCGAAAGCATGAAAAACGTATCGTATCCCATGGTGATCGATTGTGAAACTGCTGAAAACGCGTCAACAGTTGTGCAACGGTCATTGTCGACATTGGATCATGCGAGCCATGCACGTTCGTTACTGGCCCTACAATCGCACTAATCGTTTCGATGTTGCGCATATCACATTGAACGGCATGATCGCGTGTCTGTATTTTTACGGCATGACGATACGATTCCTCGACGTCGTAGATTCGTGGTATCGAAAGATGCGTCATTCCGACAACATCTCTCGTGCTGTGAACGAACTGTACAAGATGCAACGACGGTCGTTCGTCTCGCGAAACGAAAGAAACAGCGACGACGATGGCGCGATCGCGTTGGATATGATTCGACTCGATTTGAGACTCGTTTCGATCTCGGTGTTTAACGCCGTGATGTCCTTCAGAGCGCGACAATCGCACGAACGCGACGCGAATCCTGCGAATGGAGATAAGGGTAAATAAAGAAACGCTGGAATTAAACTGCGAATATCTTTCTCTTTTTATTCATAGAATGCTCAGAGCAACGCGCGCCTTAGTACCCATGGGTACCATGAATTTCGACTCGACTTGATCTATGTACATCGTCAAGTCGTCGAAAACCAGCGACTTTGGTCGTTTCGTCGAAGTCGCGGCAACGACCGATCGCGACGGTATCGACGCGTCGCAATCGCACGATGCTCTCTCGCCATCGTAGTACAACAAACAGCAAGCTACGAAGGAAACGATCAGCGCGATCAGAGCAGACAATGCCATGACCAGCCACACGAAAGGTGCCGCTGAGGCACCTAACGCCGCGGTAGCAGCAGCCCCTACGATGTCATCCAGAGTGGTGATCACGGACATGTTCAGCTCAGATTCACGTAGCGTTGCTTTACCAACACGTTGTCGGCGTTTACGAAGTAACACGACTCGTAATAATCGTCGATACCGTTTCTTACCGTCGACGCATCGTATCGTTTCGACAAAAACATGGACGACAATGTGTGTTCGCATTGTTGCGAGATCGGTAACGAGGTAGTGGTGAAAGAGGTGTTTTAATAAAACTTAGTTTATTTTGGAAAGGAGTCTTATTGACTTAACCCTTTGCTAGCGCGTTACAGAATGTAGTCTTAGAGATAGAAACGTCTGGTTCGGTCGGCCGGTGGTCTGGTTCTCTCTTCCTTCGGTGACGGCAGTCAATTTATAGACTCGTCGCCAAAGGAGTCTTGCAAATTTAGCGGAAACAGCACGCCACTTGCGACCTTCGTTCATGCAGACCGTGCATTCTTTGCCTATTGCTTTTTCTGGACTTCGGCTGTGTGGCGTGATGCTTAATCTGCAACACGTGCAGCGCAGGCGGAAGTGCTTCGCATGGCACTTTCGCCATATAATTAATATATATTAATTATGGGATCGTCAGGCTCATTCGGGGTATGACATCCTCCGCTTCCTGGGGAAAGAAAACGGCGTTCTTGCAGAACGGCGTTTTCTCCATCGAACGCTATTATAATATGCTTATATCCCGTGTACAATTATAATATAATCGTTTTTTTCTAATTTAACCCGCTAATATAAGTATTTTGTTAGAGTACCTTTTTATAATATATTTGTTCTTATTTTCTACTTGCACTTACGATTTCTTGACAAATTTTAGATGTCGATGGTAAGTGGGGTTCGGGGTGCGCTGGTATTTTTATTTTATCCAGTGCTTTTTCATTTTTACACTTTCTCATTACAATTGCTGTGATAGTAATAGTAATTATAAGTACAAATGCGCTTGGCACTGCTGTATATACATATATCATGTGTATGTTTTGCGGATTATAATATTGATGTATATTGTCTTATATTTTTGATAATTCGTTTCCTAGCTTTGTCAATTTTTCAGGATGTTTTATAACCTTTCTGTTTTTTAGGTGGGATATTTATTATTATTTATTATTATTTATTGTCCTAGTCTTATTGACTGCAGGAAGGGTTAAATTGAACTTCGGCGCGTAAATTTGAATTACTCGTGCCTCAATGCGCTCTTGTTTGTATGGTAACGCTACTTATTGTAAATGTACACGGTACGTGTGTCTGAATTAGACTTATTTTTGAGATTTTAGTCACGTAATCCGTTCGATTTTTACAACGTGCCTCTATTGTTTGGTCTTTGTATGTTGCGACTAACCACGCATTGGTATTTTCCAAAGCTATTATGATAGGGTGTGTTGCGCGTAAATATTTAATTGGACACGATGTTGTCGTTTGAGGTGCAGCGAACATTTGTATTTCACACGGTGTTTCCGTGTCTATGCGATAAATGGGTTTATTTTGTATACAAATATAGTGATTGTTTAATCTTATGCACGAGTTTAGCTCGTTTTTATCTAACACTAGGTAAGTGTGATTTTCTACGTTAATTGCTATTTTCATGTGTGAAATCGTTATCGCGAATACGTCTTCTTGGACATGAGTTGGTACGGGGATGATGTTTATAATATCGTAAGTTAGATATGTTATCAATGGTAATGTGAGAATGGTAAAAATACTTTCAGTGTCGTGATACGCGTTGATTGTTAAATATTTACTAATTTGCAGCCAATTTACTAATTCTGGAGCTACTGGCAGGTGTACGTCTTGTGGTAGATGTGACGCGGTAATTCGAAGTTGGTTTAATATTTCTTCTATTGGCGTTATTTGGAGCGGTAATATTCCGTTACTTATATCATTTAGGTAAGTAATTATATCGTTTTGATTACGCATTATATCGTTTAGTATTGCGTCAATTACCGTGAAATGTTCGTCTATTACTTCCTTATTATAATATCTTCCTTCTTTCTCTTGTAGTTGAGTAATGCTTTCAGCATCCAGCAAAAATTTTTGCTGGATGCTGAAAAGAGAATCGAATATAAAAAGGAAGAAACGTAAGCGAAACCCTTTGCATAGATCCTTCGAAGAAAAAAGAACACGGTATAGTAGAAAGAAAATAGATTGAAGACAATTTGTTAATTAATTTGATATGAATGACAAGTTAGATTTCATTTGAAGATGAAAAAGAATATAAATTGTGACCCCGAGTTCATAAACTGCGACGCGAGAAACATTTGAAATGTCATGCTCATATATATACATATTTTGAGCACATGTCCTTATTTTAATTGCAAAATGAGCAATTTTGAGAAATCAGAGGTATTTTTTAAAGTAAGATTCAATGGTCATGAGGTTGGGGATACAAGTTTCACAAAACCGTAAATTTGAACTCGAATACCCCGAAAACGTACAGGAATGTGCTGACCATACGGACAGTCATGTTAACTTCAACCGAGAAAGGTTAGGTTAGGTTAGATTTTTTGTAGGTTAAGGCTTCGCAGACAATGTTTTTGGCCTGCCCGGCAGAAGAGTACAATCGATTCGGTTGGGTTACGCGAGGTGAGGTTAAGTTAGATTAGGTTAGGTTAGGTCAGGTCAGGTTAATTGTCCCCTCCACGGAGGTCGCCTTGGCGTGGCGGAGGGGCACACCTGATTCCAATGACCCTCTGCGGCGGTAGGATCAGTTTTTGACTGATCTGAGGCCCGGGAGCGAGGTGACAGGTGCTAAGACCTCCATGAGGAACGTGCTGCCTCATTAAAAAAGGGCGGACGTCACCCTGGCTTCACAGGGTGGCGGCACGCGGTGCCCGGCCTCGAAAGGATGACTAACACCGATCCAACCGGACTAGGGTATGGCGGCCCGAGTAAATCGCTCGGTGTGCCCGGCACCGACAGGGGAGGACGTGTCCTCCTTCCGCGGATAGGGGCTGGCGACCTTACTTCCACGCCCGGCGGCACGGCGCTGATAGGAGGGGATTTCAATCCTCTCTCCGTGCATGGGGGTTAAGGGGTTGGGTGGGTTTTGGGGTGGGTTCCTTTGTGGGTCGGGATGTCGGGCTCCTCGACGGGCAGCAGCGTTGAGGGGCGGGGATAGGGCCTGGAGTGCCTGGCCCCCCGAGACCTAGGTCCTCGGGGGTTAGACTCAAAGGGTCCTACTGCGCGGGTAGGCAGGATTCGACAGGCGAAGTGAAGCTAACCGACCTAGACTGGCAGGCCCGACATGTCTGCTCCAGGTGGGGGACCGCGATAAAACCCCTACACATCAATATGGAATATGTCCAGTAACGAGGGGAAGTCTGTGGCGGACTCGGTAACGTCACACCGGCACAACGGGATAACCGTCCCAGGTCCCGCTGGGTCGTCATCATATTATGTGCTGCAGGGAGTGTTACCGGCGGGCACTCACTGTGAACGGACTACCGCTGAGGTGGAGGTGGAGGAAACAGAAGGGAGGAGAGGCCCGAGGGGGGAGAGAGTCTTCGGCCATCGGATGCAGAAGGTCTACCGAACATCGGGATCGAGGATTCTCGGCCGATGAAGGTTGACAGGGAGGAAGAAGAGGCAAACGCCAGTCTCATGGCGCAGGAGGCGGTGGCAGATACTAGCCTTGTAACACAGGGAGAGGAGAACACCGGCCACATTGTACTGAGAGGGGAAGAGGAGGAAACAACGGAGAAAGAGGGGTGTTCCTGCATTGCGAAGGAAAAAGAGGCCGGAGGGGAATCGGGCAATCCCCCGAATACCAACAATGCAGGAAAGGGAGAAAGCACAGCCCAGGCAGAGACCAAGGAGCAGCTCGACTGCGCAGTACCATCTACAGCCCAGATGGAGGTCGAGGAGGTAGTGGAGGGATCATCAACGGCGAGCGCAGCACTCCCGCCCAGGAAAAGGAAGAAGGAGGAATCCACATCCCCAGGAGAAGAAAAGCGGGAAGGACACAGGTCGGAGGAAGAGGAGATCCGGCCAGGACCTATGAGCCGAAAGATGAAGGTGACCGCCAGACCGCAGATTATCTCTGACGAATCTGATCTGGAGATGATCGAGCCGAAGAGAACCACCAGAGCAGGGAAAGTAGCCCTCCCCTCTACATCAGGGAAGGCCAATTACAGGAAGCAATCGGAAAGTGAGACGGTGTCAACAACCTCGGATGAAGACTACGTGCCTAAGTCAAGGGCCACCAAGAAGGATAAAGCGACGGCGCCTAGGAAAAAAAGGAAGGTGGAAGCTAAAGGAAAGAAAAAGAGAGAGCAGGAATCTATTAGGGAAAGGGATAAGGGAGGGAAGTATATCGCCACCACCAAGAAAGAGACCCAAGGAAGGATCCAAGAAAAGGCAAAGGAGGGAAGCGTGTCTGCAGACAACAAAGAGGCCAAGATATTGAAAAGCCAAACGCAGATGAAGGTGGACAACAGGGAAGAGAGCATGACACTGGGCCCGGCTAGATACATTAAAATGACGGCGGCGGAAGCGGGTGCACTAGCGATGGAGTGGCTCGACGAGGTGGAATCTGGTAGAGCCAAATCATCAAACATACAAGGACGTATCAGCGGCATGATGAGAACCAATGTCATCAAAGTAAAGGATCTAATAAGAGCCCTAATCGGTAAGGCGGAAGCGACAGGAGACCCCCTATATCTAAGGATGAGAAACGCGGAACTCTCCATGCAGATAAAGTAGGTACAGGAGACGTGCGAAAGGAACAAGACCGACCTAGCAGAGGCTAAATGCATAATACAGGAGATGAAGGAAAAGATGGCTAAGGCGGAAAGCAGGAAACCACCCAAGGAGAAGGAGAGCGGTAAAGACAAAATGAAGGATGATGGTAGAAATGGAAAGGATATAGGGAAAGAGGAAATAGCCCAGGAAAAGGATATGGAAACAGAGGCGAAAGGAACGTATATAGGAGTTGGAGAGGATATGGAGGGGACGGTATGGAGGCCGCCGCTGAGAGGCATATCAGCGCCTATCCCAGCAACGGTGAAGAGAGGCAAGGAAAGGAAGAAATGATCACGAAGCAAATAGCGGAATTGGTAAGGGCAAGGAAGCAACTGCGGAAGGATAAAAGCCAGGATAAGAAAAAGGACAGGAACAATACAGCTCAGGGAAATGGTACGGAAGGGAAACAGAGGGGTAGAAGGAAACCAAATGGACCCAGGATCAAGACAGACATACAGATGGTTCCACCTAGGAAAGGACTAGGTCCTCACGGAGACATCCCGCTGAGAGAGAGGGAACAAGAAGATAAGGAAAGAGAAGAGACAGGACAGGGAAGTTTAGGAGAAAGAAAGGAAGAGGAATGGCAAACCATAGGGAAAAGGGGAAAAGTAGGAGCACAACCCCAAAGGAAGAAGGGGGCATCAAGCGGCAGAGGAATGACAGGAGGAACTTCAAGAAAGAATGAGGTCAGGAGAAGACCCCCGAGAACGGCGGCGGTCTCGATAACTGGTCGGGTAGAGGGATTCTCTTATGCGGAAGCAGTGAGGAAAGCAAGGGAAAAAATCTCTCTCACCGGAATGGGAATCGAGCAGACTAGAATTCGCCGAGCTATAAATGGGGGAATTCTAGTTGAGGTAATAGGTCCGGATGGGAAGGATAAGGCCAACGCCCTCGTCACTAAGTTAAAAGAGGTGCTGCCTGAGGAAGAGGCCGTCATTTCCAGACCCACGGTTAAGGGAGAGGTACGCATCATAGGGGTAGATGACTCTGTCACCTACGATGAAGTCCGCGATGTAGTAGCAAACATAGGGGGCTGCGACTTAGAAGAGGTTAAAACAGGGGATATGAAGGAAATGCCAAATGGCCTTTATACTGTATGGGTACAGTGCCCTTTAGGGGCGGCAATACGCATAGGGAGAGAGGGTAAAGTGCGAATTGGATGGACAATTGCGCGAGCAGAACTGTTGCGTGCACGACTCCTGCAGTATTATCGCTGCTGGGAATACGGGCACGTGAAGAGCCGATGTACATCGTCCATTGACAGAAGTGCGGCGTGTTGTAGATGCGGTAGCAACGGACATCAGGCCAAACTATGCACCATGAAACCGAGGTGTGTGGCGTGCCATGAAAAAAGAGGGGATGGAAAGCATAGAATGGGGTCAGCGGCGTGTGCAACAGGAAGGAAGGACACAGGAAGACCAGCTTGGAGGACTGGTGTAACAGACCTATCCAATAATGGGGATAAAAGTAATCCAGTGCAACTTAAATAGAAGCTGGGAGGCATACAACCTGCTAGTACATCAAGCAGCAGAGCAGAGTACAGATGTGTGCGTCATTGCCGAACCTCCAGCGGCAATAGAGGCTGGAAACTGGTTCCGGAGTACGAGCAGACTGGCGGCGGTAGTCTGGATGCCCAAAGGTTCGGCGCAATTGGTCCGGTGCACATTGGTTAAAAGAGGCTATGACTTTGTCATAGTGGAAGCTGGAGGTTTGAGAATCACATCCTGTTATGTGTCACCCAAAATCAAGAGGGGGCCGTTCCTGCAGTTTCTCGACGAACTGGGAGAGGCAGTCAGAGAGCTGGGGGGTACGAAGGTTATAATATCCGGAGATTTTAACAGCCGGACTAAAGCATGAGACGATGGAAGATCTAACTTTAGGGAGGATCTGTTAGAAGAGTGGGCGGCAGAGATTTTCGGTTAATCAACAGGGATAGGGAGCCGACGTGCGTTAGACCTCAGGGTTGTTCTGTGGTGGACCTTATTTGGGGATCGCCGGATGTGGTGCTGAAGACCGATGGCTGGAGAGTCTTGGAAGAGACATAAACGCTGTCAGACCATAAATACATAGAGTACATGTACGGAATGAGGGCACCGCCTGGAAATAAACAGGACTGGGATAGCAAAAGAAAGTATCACCGCCGAAAGTTCGACAAAATGGACGAGGAGGTCTTCCAATTGTTATGGGAGCTAAGATGCGGGGGGGGCGAAGCTGAAAGTGATGATAGGGAATCAGCATCCAACTCAGCGCAATGGCTCCAACTCACCATGAGGGAGGCATGCGACCTAGCAGCACCAAGGGCTAAAGCAAGAAAGACCAGACGGAAAACATACTGGTGGAACAAGGACATTGCGGAAGCACGCTCAACCTGCATCAAAGCGAGAAGGCAGCTTACAAGGAAGACGAAGAAAATCAAGTCCAAATCTGAGCCTGACACAAGTGAAGAAAGTGCACTGGAACTGGCAGGTCTGAGGAAAATTTATAGGGAAAGCGCAGACCACATGAGGAGCCTGATAAGGAAGGCCAAACTAAAAGCCTGGAAAGAGCTTATTGCCACCATCGAAGCGGACCCATGGGGCACACCTTACAGGCTGATCCTGGGTAAGTTGAGGAATGCCACCTCACGCTTGACCGAAACGATGGATGAAAGAAGGGTGGGCGAACTTGTCGATTCCTTGTTCCCTGGCGGCACGCTTTACGATAAGTCAAACCAAAACATCCCCGTTGAATGGCGAGAACAGCAGAGGGTGTCGGCATCAGAGGTACAGGCTGCGATTGAGAAGAGGAGTTCGAAGAACAGAGCTCCGGGCATGGACGGCTTCACAGCGAAGACATGGAGAAGAATACCAGATACTGCGACAGAGAGAATCGCAAGCCGCTTCACGGCTTGTCTTAGAGAAGGGTTCTTTCCGGTAGATTGGAAGGGAGCAATCCTGGTCCTGATTCCGAAAGGGAGCTTTCCAATGGGGACCGAAATAAAAGTAAGGCCAATCTGTCTGCTAAAAGAAATAGGGAAGATCTTTGAGAAGGTACTGGCGGATCGCCTCACATACTGGATGCAGGAAAACCCTAGGTCTGGGCTGTCCGACAGACAGTTCGGTTTCAGAGAAAGTCTCTCTACAAGTGATGCGGTCATCAGGGTTCGGGACGCGGTGGCGGAATCCGTTAAGAGGGCAGAATACGCGATTGGCATTAGCCTTGATATAAAAAATACCTTCAATTCGATCCCTTGGATGAGAATCAACGAGGCTCTTGAGGAAAAAGGGTTTCCGGATTACCTGAGAAGGATTGTGGCAGCATATCTATCCGAAAGATGGATAGAATTTGGAGTGATGGGTGGAGAGGTTAGGAAAAGGCCAGTATGTGCGGAGGTCCCTCAGGGGTCGGTACTGGGACCACTGTTGTGGAACATTGCGTATGACCCGGTACTACAGGCAGGTATGGAAGACGGATGCTCCCTGATTTGCTACGCCGATGATACATTCATCATAGTGACGGCTAGCAACATCAGGACAGCGGTAGCGAAGGCCAACCTACAGTCGGCCAGAACTATTAGGAGAATCGAGAGGTTAGGCCTAGAAATGGCCGCTCAGAAAACAGAGGCCATACTTTTCTATGGCCCAAGGAAGAGACCGGGGGCTATGCCAGAAGTTCGGATCGGAGGGGTGGAGATTAGAACCAGAGAGCGCATAAAGTACCTGGGAATTATATTAGACAGTCGCTGGAAGTTTACACAACATTTCGTGTATGCGGCTGAGGAGGCCTCACGCATTGCCGGGGCTTTGGGAAGGCTAATGCCAAATCTCAGAGGGCCGCGGGAAACAAAAAGGAGATTGTACGCTATGGTGGTGACATCTGTGTTTCTGTATGGCGCGCCCATCTGGAGTGAGGCGCTGGCTACACCGGCGTCGTCATCGTTAACACAGAGGGCGCACCTCCCTATCAAAAGGGTACAAAGATACACAGCCTTATGGGTGATTGCTGCATACAGGACGGTATCATTTGAAGCAGCGACCATCTTGGCGAGGACCCCGCCGTTGTATCTAACGGCAGCCCTGTAGAGGAGGACATTTATAAGGATAAGAGAGACGAGAGCGAATGGCGACTGGACCGCTAAAACCGAAGACGAGATAAGAAGGATGGAGAGGATCCTCCTTAAAAGGCAATGGGAGATTCATGTCGGACGGGCGAATCAGTCTAGGAGTCAGAGCTAGGGAAGCAATACTGCCTAACTTCAGCGCCTGGGTGGATCGTAGAAGGGGAGGGCTCAGCTTCCACTTAATGCAGATCATAACGGGACACGGCTGCTTCAACGATTATCTGAAGCGAATAGGCAAGGTGGAGAGCAACCGCTGTGAGCAATGTCGAGGAGGGACGGACACCGCACAGCACAACCTGCAGGAATGCCCGGCCTGGTCAAGTCAGAGAGCGGCCCTAACTGGAAAAATAGGCAATGACCTGACTCTGTCCTCAGTAATAGGAGCAATGCTCAGGTCAGAAGAGGCATGGCGCGCAGTGAACGCGTTTGCAACAGGTGTGATGGAGCAAAAGGAAGAGGCAGAGAGACAGAGGGAGGAGTCGGACAGGTTGTTGTTGGCAATGGAGGATGAGGAACCGACAGCAACTCCTCCAGTTGCCTCTACCACCAAAGAAGGCTCACAGGACACCTTACATGGAAGCTGACATAGGTGAGCGGCAACCCAGACAGCGGGTTGCGGGATGGTAATAAGAAGTAAGGTAAGGAAAGAAAGAGAAGGAGACCCAACAGATGCTTGCGGAAGAGTTTGAGGCGAGTCCCATTGCCCTCGGACAATGGGATTCACAAAGGCTGGGGGGGGGGCGGCGGATGAAGTGGCGTAGCATCCGTCGCTGGTTAGGTTCAAGGGTAACTGAGGAGCTCAAGGACGAGGCTGATGGTTGTCGGCTGGCTCAGGGTGCCTCCCAGTAGTCGTGCTTCCTGGCGTACCTGGGACGCATCCAATATGATCGCGGTTAGGACGCTCGGTGGAGTTTTAGTGGGTAGGACGCGGCCATTGGCTGCGGGAGTCCCACATAACCCGACCTGGAGACCTTCCGGGGTCAGGTCGGATATGCGTAAATGCATTTCTCCATCGTCATCAAAAAAAAAAAAAGGTCAGGTTAATTGTAAAGTTAAGGCTCTGCAGACATTGGTTTTTAGGTGAAAATTTGCCTGTCAGGCAGTATATCACAATTATCTCGCATATTTCTGTGATTTTAAGTATTTTTTGAGGTTAGGGTTGAACCAAGACCCATTGGGCCAATTCTGATAGCGGATTTGGATTCAGCGCGTCAAAATACATAGGAATACACATGTCTCGTCCCCAGATCAAGACACTTTTTTTTTGTGTGGCTGTGTTACCTGTATTCACGCATTGTAGCTAAACGCGCTCCACCGAGCAACAATGAGGACAACGAATCAAGCGACGCAGGCGCTCTCTCGTCAAGAGCAACACAGCCGCTGCAATCGATGCGCTATCAACGACTACTGACTGACAACTTTGTTGACGATGAAGATACTCTCTTCCTTCTCGCTTTCGAGAGTAACATGTTGAAATAGTTGAGCGAAAAATCATATGACCGACGTTTCGTATGCGCTACGAAAGATCTTCTTTCATGTCTAGTGCTCTCTGTTTCTACGAGCGACGCCGCCGCAGTATTATTGTCACATCGCGAGGCACGTTGTTTCTTTCTAGTAATGGTAAATCTCGCATTCTCGTTCGGTCTAGCTGTACTAGAGCGGCCCGATACGGTGCATCGACTCGTACCGATGCTCACGCACTCTTCGGCAGACGTATCTCTGCGCGATGATTGCTCATATCGAGCGCTCTATGCACCCCTAAACTGTCGTGCAATATATCGCTATACAACGATCATTTGCCAAGTGGACGATTGCGAGTACGGACCCTCGTAGCTCTTTGATAGACGATAACGAAGTGGCCCACGAGATGTTCCGACGAGTACAGAAGGACGTATACGAAAACACTGAAAATTTTCTTCGATTAATGACCGATAAACAACAACGAAACAGCAGCAACGGTAATAGTGGCAACGAACAACAAATCGGACGAACCGCTGTGGCATATAACGAACAGCAGCAGCAACGGAACGACGAAAGTTCTACCCATGCTTCGATGCTATTGAACGAGTTCGCACTACGACGTCATAAAATCAGTCTTCGCCGCAACACTCAATGTCAAGGCAGCAGCAGCCAACAACAATCCGAACAACGCGCACGGAGAACCTTCGTGACTAGGTTGAAAAACGACGGCGGAAATGACAGTAGCAATAATGACGGAACATCAGCCAGCGCAGACGCCATGCGGGAATTTCTCGCGTCCCGCAAACTCGATGAATTTGACCTGGAACACGCGGATGATCAAGACTTGCGCGAATGGTTAACCAGCATGCGCGATTCTACCGCGATTCCGGAATCATCATTTACGACCGATCTGTCCCTGCGTCATATCGCCGCACTGTATTTGTTTGTTGTAGCAAGAGAAAGAGAGCGCTGGGCGACATTGAGCCAAAACGGCAAATCTACGCGCGAATGCCAGTTGCCCGCGAATAAGTGGCGCTGGAACATTTTTGGCCGTTTGACCGCTACGCACGCAAGCGATTGTGAGCGTTCGCTGCGGAAAATTTTCGCCGAAGCGAGTATACACTCGTACGACACAAACTCACTGGCCAACGGTCTGGCAATATTCTTTAATCACAGCATGAACGTAGATGACAGGGTGCCGCACGACATCGGCTACTCGCTCTGTGTTGCCCTCGTGACTATGCATATTTACGCCAGCGGCGACCCGGAGATCGTTATGTTCCTCTTGGTGTTTGTCGTGGCAGTGCGATTCCCCGGACAGTTTTTGAAGTCTGTGCTGTTCTTGCAAGGCACCAGCGACAGCGGCAAGAGCGAATTCGTATCAGAAGTGTTGCGTCAAATGTTCTCGTGCCTCATAGGCACCATCAGCAACGCGACGTTGCGGCAGGGTGTGCGCGATGAGATCAATACCGACTTTATGAGCATGATGAATTCGCATCTGTATCAATGCGATGAACCTGAACGCTTGAACTCGAAGCTGTTCAAACTGCTTATTTCTCGCACGCGCATCAAGAGTCGAAAATTTTTCGATCAGCAACCGCAACATCTGATCAATCTGGCCAAACTAGTGCTAACGGTCAACGACTCGATCACTCTGCGCAGCAACGCGGGTGTCATTACGCGCCTCAAATATTGTTTGCGCATGCTGCATCGCTTCAAAACGTTGCATCCGCGCGATCACGATTGCTCGGTGGACTTTGGCAAACACTCCGCACCGAGTGTATCGCATCAATTCGCCGCAAGGTGCTTCGCACAAGGTGTGAGTTTTCCCTCGTTTCGCGTGGGTCTCTTTCTGGTCATGGAGCACTTTTCTATCGACATGTGCACGTACGACAAATCGTTTTACTTACTCTACGACGCCTTGAGCAAATGCTTCGCTAAAAACTGGCTAGAAAAAAAAACTACGCGAGGGTGCCGACAATTCCAATCGAGATGATAAAGTACGCTTGAATACTCGAACGCAAGAACTCGAAGCATTCCGCAAAATACTAATCTACGGCCAGGCGGAACGCATCGTGCACGAATTGTTAACAGATGGTGACATCGGCGGCGGCGGCGGCAGCGACGGCGGAGCATCATCGTCGTCGCCAGACGGCGGCGAAGAGATTGTACAAGCGAGCGACGTGTTTGCTCACCAATCGGCCAAGAGACTTGAAGACCCGGTCATCATCAATTGCATACCCGTAACGATGCAGCGTGACGCGCGAAATTTGCACGTCACCATCGATCAGTATGAACGGTTATTGAAACGTTATCGCATCGTCGAGGATTCAACTGTGTCTATCAGCGAGATCGAAATGTGCAAATTTCTGCGCGAATTTCTCGACGAAAGCGGTTGTAACGTCGCAAGATCTAACATTCGCGATATCGTGTTTAAAATTAAGGAACGAATTAAGACCGAATATCCGCGTACATTTAGATAGCGCGATAACACGTTTCATTTGATGTTTCGAGAGGTGATCGAATCTTAAACGACGTTGTTGCTGGCCGAATCTTAAACGCCGTCGTCGCTGGTCGAATCTTAAGAGCCATCGTCGCTGGTCGAATCTTAAGAGCCGTCGTCGCTAGTCGAATCTTAAGCGCCGTCGTCGTTGGTCCTGAGAACAGTATATATTCGAGAGGTTTGAATCTCACATCGACAGTGTTGAAGAGAGATCGTCGTAGTCGTGTGTCCGTTGTCGGTAATCCATTGTCTTTACGTTCATACAATTTATTCGTGCAGCAATATATACGAGGAATGCAACAGCAGCAACAACTCTACGATTATTCATCGTTGGACAATTTAGTGCAGCTTTTCAACAAGATAGATCATCAGTCGCTGGCAATCGGAAACATATCAGGCGGGAAAGAAGATCACAAAATACCACGTTTTAACGCGCAACTCGTCAGTACAACGGTCAGTAGTGAAAACAGCGAACTGATAGAATCTGACGCCGCCGTAGCCACCTCCATTAGCACCAGCATCGACATGATGACCGCCGCTGACAAGCATCAACAACCTGCACAGCTGCAGCAATATGAACAACAGCAAACGAACAGTTACGACAGAAGTTTTCATCATTTTGCACGCCTGATTTGCTTGTTTGAACAGTTGCCCAAGGAGGAGCGCTTTGCTAAAATTCATCAACTGAAAGCGAGTTTGAATGACGCCGAGATTCGCATGTGTCTGGGTCGTCGACGCGGCAAACGAGAACTTATACGCTTGCTGTGCTATGGGGCCAATCTCAACGTAGAACGCATGTGGTTCAATGTGGCGAACATGTTTGTGGCCTATGGCGTAATAGATTCCTCAATGATGCAGAAACAGGCTACCGATGGAAGCATACTGCGAAACTTGGACGAGTGGTACGAATATCCGAATACGTTCGAAGTATGTGCCTGGAACAACGTATCGGCCGATGTTATAAACGGTATGTTGTATGACAATCAACCGGTGGTGGATGGAAAAGCCTGCCGTTGCTGCGTCTCCATGATGATTCGAATCTGCAACGGCGGAGGTGCGTCGCCGACATTACGTTCTCTAGAATCAACCGCCGCAGTCACAACGACGACGGTCGACGGAGGAGAAACCGTCGTCCCTCAAGCGCGTTCTAGATCTGGGATTGTCAAATCCAGGAATCGCGGTGACGACGCTCAAAAGAATGCCGTGGTGACGAATGAGAAGACGACGACGATGACAAATACGAACGACTCAAAGCGCAAGAGAGCCGGCAATCGCGAACCGAAAGCGAAACGCGCGAAAAATGATACGAACGGATCAGCGGCAGCGGTAGTGGCAGCAGCAGCAGCAGCAGCAATAACAGCACCTACAACAAACGGAACAATAGCAACATCATCTACTATGAGCGGAGCAACAGCAACAACAGCAGCAACAGCAGTAGCCGCGCCTGCAACAAACAGAACAATAGCATTATCACTTACTATGAACGGAGCAACAGCAGCGACGGCACTTGCGAACAACGAAGTACACGAGAAAATGGCGGCGTTAGTAACGACAAAGCCATCATCGATTAATCAAAGTCGCGGAGTTGCTGGCAAAGACATGTCACTCATAACCAACTTG